ATTATATAAACAAATATCTTAATAGACACATTTTTGTTATGCATTATAGTCATAACAACTGTTACGTTAAAATTATTTTCAAGCAAAATATCGAACACCTAGTGAGGCAAAAATAAAAAAATAAAAAGAGTAAACCTTAAACCTTTTAAAAATGGCGTCTCTTTACAAAGATTACACGGAGTCGTAGACTTTAAAAGGTCGAACTATTAGTTTTCATTGAAAAAATAAAAAAAAAACACTTAAAACGTTGTACACTGCTATGTTGAAGTATATAGATTAAAAAAAAGTTCACTTACTAGTTGATCAAATTTAAAATTAAAAATTCTCGCCCAAGTATATTTTACAATGCAGTACAATAGATTGAATAAACCGACAGTTGAAACTTGCAGAAAGACAAAGTTCGAGAACGAATATAAAGTTTTGAATTTATCTGAATAATTGCTATAGTTTCATAATAAATACTTACCATTCAACACATTAATTCTCTACCTCTGACGTCAGAGGATACACCGGGCACATTTCACTAATTCTTTTATAGTTCTTAAAGTTTAGTAATTAATTGTTCGTATAAATACGGTTTAACACACCGATTAATTGTTCACGTATCTCGGAGAATAGGAATATTGCTGTTTATCGTTAAAAACATGAAAAAGCATGAAACGAAACAAACGATAATATCACTACGGCGCCATGTCGCATAGCTGTCAGAACACCCTGCGCGCGCAATATGCGTAGAAAATAGTACGAGGGAAATTTAAACGCTAGAAAATTTCCAGTGAAATAGTCGTTTTCTAAATTACCGCGTAAATTGAATTTTTGATAGACAATAAACCCAAAAGCCATACAAATGTAAATGTAAATTAATTGTGACTTACTTGATAAATAAAAACAATTTGTCATAACATTATTGTAAGAGTTATACCAGTAAAACATTTTTATCAGAATAAAGATTTATGTACCTATTTGTTTTTTATTAGAATAAAAGTAACGGTTCTTTTTTATTCTAATATACTGTTAGCTATACAATATAATTATAGCTGAAATTTTGTTGAAATATGTTACAGTTTAATGTTAATTTATGAAATACCAGAGAGAAAAATTATAGGCAAGAATTTCAATTATTTCCAGTCCAACTGTAGCAGGTCCACTATCTGACCTTGTTCTCATCCAATTCGTTCGATAGTTTTACAGTGAGCTTCGATTTATTCAGACGGAACTATTAATAATCTCCCAGAAATCTCCGGCATCCTACACTGAGAGGTAAAGTTACTGAATTTCAAGTGATTTTTGCGATTCCATTTAATTTTTTCTTAATAATCCTTACTTCGTTGAAACGTTAGTATTTCCGTGTACTATAAAACAAAAAGTGTGCTTATATTATTCAAATAATAACATTTTAGAAGCCATTTGAGATATAAATTACTGATCTTTAAAGAACTCTTTATAAAAAATAAAATAAAAATGTTCATATTTAAATGTAACTGAATGTTACAAACAATAAATACATGATGGCATAAACCGACGAAAAGACGTGTCCTTCATGATTTTTAATCTCGTTTCGTCAGTGAATCCATTGTGTATTAAAGCATTAATTAGACATCCTTTTCCAAATGGAATTGATTCAAAACTGTTCCACTGTTTTTATATAAATCCTATCGTTATATAAACTTATAATCGTACTACTGATCGGGTATTTTTGATAAAACGTGTAAACAAACCTTTCTATATTTTGCATATCCTTGTTTGTATATTATACAGCTGATAGAATCCTACTATTACGCAATTTAATTTAGTAACTAAACTATCTTCTCGCAGTGCAATTTGAACTATTTAAAAAGCCCGGCAAATATATAAATCTGTGAGAAAGAAATGCCAATTTTATTCCTAAAGTACACCTATAAAAATACCACAAGGCTATAACATCATTACATTTTTCTAGCTTTCCTTTTGCCGATTCGTAATGATTTTAACAGATTTCTTTTACATTTTACGTATTTAACTAAGCCTCGTTGAAGGTAATTAATTGAAACTCTACAGAGTATAATATAATTCTCGGACTTAAAACGGAACTTGTAAATCACACGAAACATTTTCTATTTTGCTGTTGATACTCGGTCAACGAATTCTAAGCACAGAAACGATATCCACAATCAAACGAAGGTAAATGAAAGTGTAACTAGATCATCGATTTAAACAGAACAAGATGGAAATCGCGTTTCCTTTCTTCATGCATCTGATAGACAAACATAACATCATTTTCCGGCTATATCCATTAGGTGCAGATTTCTGTTATATCGACATTACTTTCTTTACTTCTACCTGTTTAAAAGGTAGATTTATTACCTCTGATTTATCATTTTTCTTTTTCTTTGCGGACTATATGCTTCAGCTGATTACTGTTTTAATACCGCACTAGATAAGAAAAGCTAATGTATTAAGAGTAGAAATGACTTCTTTCCGACTTTTCTGTACAATCAAGGTTTTATTAAAAAAGAATGAAAATAGATCAATCGTCAAAATAATTTCCACTATGTTGATGATCTTTTGCAATTTTTAAAATATTATAATAGGAAACTCGATAGCTTTGAATCAATTATGTGAATCCAGTCGGAAAGAATTCATTTCTACACCTAACGTTGTAGATTAATTACATTTGGTAATCCTCAGTCTTGTAAATTAAGACGAAAGTTACAGTTAAAATGAATTTTTGTTACCAATGTAACCGTGTCTCTCGCATCTTCACCAAAATCTGTGTCACGAGTCTGACTCGGTTGTTATAAGGTAACGAGGGTTAAACTTCAACCGATATTAACCCGAATGGTGAAGTGAATTGCTTGAAGCAATTGAAGAAGTAAAATGTACATTATGAATTTGACTTACTTACAAAGGTATCATGCAAACGTTGAACTTTCTACCTTTCCCATTTGTCTCTGTTATTTTCCATCTTTACTTAAAATGATACTAGTTTAGCCAAGTTATTTCCATTCAGTCCGCTATATGCCAAGATGAAATAATCGATAACATAAATCATTCATATCCTACCTCGATTAAGAAGCATTGTTCTAATAACCCTGATATAAATCTTTCCATGCTTTGTTCTCGCAACATGAAACAAAAAATCCGACACAATTCCATCTCCTTCGTGAATATCAGTCTCTGCCAGAACTTCCTTCAGAGCTTCAACCCTTTCTTCCACCGTACTTTCATCGCTCGCTGATAATTTCTCCTCCAAACATTGGACGACACTGAAATCCTCCCAGAATTCGGGCAGATCTTCCTCAAGATTCTTCGGAGAATCGGCGTCCAAACTATCGAAACTATCTAAACCCGCGTATGATACGTTCAAAGCCAAATTTGTAAATGTTGGAGCTCGCGGAGAACTTGTTTCTAATCTCCACAAATGTTTCTCATTATTTCTCAAATTCCACGATGTTTCTAATTCACTCGTTTCTGCGGAACTTCCCTGACTAGACCTGCGGGAACATTCTCTCGAACCTTTCGATAAATTTCTATTCATTTTCTGCGAACTGCTCCAACAATTTTCCGATTTCCAAGAGTATCTCCCTTCAGAATTTCCAAACGGATCGTCATATATTCCCCGCAACGGTTTGTCCTCGCGTATTTCGAAAGAGGTCTCTTTCAATTTGAAGGCAGCGCCGAGATTGCGTCGTTCTACAACATTTTCGTCCACTTTCCATGGAGAACCACCTAGTCCAACAACGTTGCGTTTCGAAAGGTTTTCGCTGCCTCTTGAAACGGAATCATTCTGAGAATGTTCGATTGTTCGCCAAGATGAATCTACTTGGGAATCCCCCTGTATTCTCTGGGAATATTTCCCCGGTTCAACCGTAATTTCTTGCACTCTCTCTTCTGAATAATTTTTAACCGTTTCCTGCAAGACATTCTCACTTTTATCAGCTGCTTTCGAAAAATCATCATCGCTCGTTTCTCCTCGGTCATCTGTTCTCCGTGTGCATACAACTTTAGGAAAGTCCGGATTGTATTCGTTACTCATGTCCCCATAACCATTCGTTAAACGATCAAGATCTATGCCGCACTGTTCATGAAAACACTATCGACATTATATATACCTATTTACTTTTCCTTTTATCCTTTCTTAATTCACTTCCCTTTTGTTTCTTTAATTATTTAAATTTTCACTATTAAGCGGTACAACTTTTAATATAACAATAATGAAAAAAAAAAAAAGGAGGTCGATGATTTTTCGTAAATTAATGGCAACGGTAAATTTCGATAGAGGCTGTGTTAATTTGTACAGTCTGGTATATTTGCAAGCTTACGTGAACCCGAAACAATCTTGAAGCTTTCTTTCTATCAAAACGAATAGTTCACAGATAATCTGTTATCGAAAATATACAAATATTGAAATACAATAGAAGACGTATCGCAATTTTTTTTTTTTTTTTTTAAAAACAATCATTCAGATTCCGACGCAAAAGAATGCGCCGCAATAATATCTGCGATAAGAATACAATTCCTTCGAAACTTATAATACCTGCGATCGATCGATCGATCGATCGATAACAGTCACGTAAGTGATGATAAAACGGCAACTTTACCATACACCAAACGTATATACCGTTTCTATCAGTACACATTTTTAATCAGTTGCCAGTGTAATCAATATAAATATATAAAGCGAAATATAATCGTAAGGAAAACAACAACGGAACATTTATAACGCTGCTATGTATGTATAAATAGAATGGTCACGTGGTTACGAAAAAATCAGATTTTTTTCGGAATCTCTGCTGTAGATAATCTCTGTGCTTATTGCTTGAAAAATTAATAATAAATTAAATAAATCAGACCCCCCCCCCCCCCTCTCTCCCTCCTCCATGTTTCGATAATTAGCAAAGTTCAAGTATTCTAGAAATTTTACAACGAATCTTAAAGTAACCATAAGGATTAAAAGGATTAAAATGAAAATCGAACGTATAACGGCGAATTTTCGTGCTTGTTGACTAATTACATCTATTAATTAAACTAGGGACAATAAATTAGTGTGAAAGAAAAAAAAATGGCAAGAGAAGTAGTAGAGTTTCGAAGACAATAAATCATTATATTTCGCATTTTCTCCTAGATACCACTTAACTTGCAAATTATTCCTATGAGAAAGCGTTGAACTATACGAGAGGAAATGTGTCTAAAGAATTACACGATTTTTCTTTAACAAGGGAGGCTTAATTGATAGTCTAACAGTTATTACGTAATTCTTTGAGGAAACCGAGTAGAATGGAACTTGAGAATCTCATTTTTCCATTCAACTGCAATTCACTGCCTTACCTTAGTTTATCTTAATTTCACGTTATCGGGGGAGGGGGAGAGAACTAAATACATTTTAGGATTCGTTTAATTGTTTAAGAAAAGAGTGCAGAAGAAAAAGCTTATTGCCATTTAAAATTATAATCATTTTCATGAGATATAATTACTGTAAAAGCAACAATTCTATTTTCACGATAAAAGAAGCAGCTGAAAATTTGACCGCGTAACGACTTCGTATTGCAGCATTCACCAAAGTGTATCTTCATAAAGGCGTGTTTAGATGCGCAAAATAATCGGAGCGCAGGAATACCCGTCGATTAATGCGAGCTGGAATGCGTTATGTTTCCACTTATGCTCTCAAATCACAAAAACGACCTCCATATTCGCAAACCATCCGAGTGAATTGCACAATTATTAGTCTTGTTAAGAAAATATTTCCTGAATATGTTCGAGCAAAAATTTATTTTTTCTTCTAATACTGAAAAACTGTGAAGTTTAAATTTTAATTAAAATTACGAAAGATTTAACTAAACTGTCGTCTTTGATCATGTTCTTCGTGAATATTTGCGAAATTTACGAATGATTATTATTTGTTAATCAATTTTCGTTCTACAATCTCCTCATTTGCTGCATACACCCAATTTCCATGGATATATGCAACTCTGTCATATAAGTCTATTATTTGCATACTTTTATATAATGTATATGTGTAATTGGCAGAATTAGTTTATGCATACGATTTGCAATTTTCCCAAAGAAATTTTAAATCAGAGAGCAAATACCTCTTGTACCTTCGTATGCAGTGTAAAAGGTAACATAGCTTAAATTTATCATATTATCAGCGACTTGTTTACAAAAATATAAAGATGTTATAAACTTATATAACAGGGATTTGTAAAGATCTATGAAATTTTCTGTACATTGAAGAAAATTAGTACAATGGGTAAAAAAAAGTATTTCAATTATAGAATAGAATAAATTATTTAAATTAAACGAATATAATCGGAGTATAACCAAATTTAATAATTATTATTGTATATAATTAAAAAAATATGTTATACTCCTTATGGACCTAACCTAACCCAGGCTCGAATACGCATGTCTAAAATCTATGTTTCACGAAACATTTTTACCTAGTATACAATTGCATTTTAGACTGGATATATTTTAATATGCTTTATGAATTTTCAGTGAATTTGTACACTAAAAATAAGAACTAATTTAACTCAATAATTGAACAAAAGAATTACATTCGGAAAGTTATCTTAACCTAACCTAAATGATGTGTCAGAAAATTCTCAAACGTCGTTGGTATATAGGTAATTCGCTCAAAAATTTTAAATAAAGAGATTCTGCATCTCTTTTCAAATTCCTTATAAAATATATTATAAACTATAACAGTCATATTTACTGTACAATCTACATAAAGTTAAGAACTTTTCAATTATATACTGCAGCTTAGTTTGCAATCAATTTTAATTCTCATTTTCTGAGTTTACTACAAGAATAACGAATAATTGAAATATCAAATTTCCATTGCAACATGAACTCACGAAAAATATCTTATAAGTTAAATTTACATACAAGATTGTAAATGCAATACGATATAGAACGAACAAAAAATTAATTATACACAAGAACACATAAACAGGAAGTCCACTAAAGTAACCATTCACTTTCAACTATCACTTCATAGTGTTTAGTTCACTGAACAGTTCTTTTCGTTGGATAAACCACTCCAACAAAGAACGTCAATTCATTTATGGAAAAAATTAGACGATAGAGACGCACAACGCCTTTCCAACGCGGAGGACGAACGGCGACTAAAGTACACTATGGAAGTTCCAGCAGCACCGCCGGGAGAACGAGCGCTCTAATTGGTTGAGAATTCTTCCGGGCGGCTGTTATGATTGGATACTCAACGAAAGAGCGCCGAATTACATGTGACTTGTTATCAGTAAGGCGCAAAAAGTTATTTTAAACAAAGAACAAATATTTTTTAAGTATCCTATGTTATTGCAAATAGCATCTTGAAAAAATAGTTTTTATATGATAAAATTTTAATCCTAACCATTTACGTAAGATAGAATAGTATCGTTCAAACAGACACATTCTTTGTAACGGAATATTATAATCCAAGAAATACAAAAATAAATGCTTTATTATAATTATATTATAGAAACGTTTGAAGACAGGAGGAAGATATTTTCACACTTAAAAAAAAAATGTCATGTAGTACTAAAGATATTCTAACAAAAGTTCAATTTTAAAAATTAACTAAAGTATGAAATATTGTGCACAACTGGCAAATTATAGAAAACAAAAATACAGCAGGCAGATATACAAAAGAACGAAATCTTCGATCGTTTTAATGATCACCTGACATGATAAAACAAAAATAAGAGGATGCAAGAATAACGTTTTCGAAGAAATAAATGAATGTGCAGCAGGAACAATCAAAGAATATTATCGCAAATTAACGATAACACGTGCGACAACGATAAATGTACAATTTTATCGTCGAAATTTTTTACCTTATCGGTAAAATGAATAGAGTGACTAAGTTATAAATATGATTTATGAAGACGATAAACAATTTTCAATTTGCCGTGTAAGCGTATAAAAGGAAATATTTAAAAGTTAACAGCTAAAACACAGTTTTTCAATCATAAATCTTTTAGAACGATATACAAAAACTTGAAATCGTAGCAGTGTAGAAATAATTGAAAGCATTTTTTGAACACACAACGATTTGCAAGATTTAAAAATACATATATTTATCATTAAAAGATCGACATTACGGACAAAATATCGGTCACTCTTAAAGTCAACAAGTATATTAAGATATTACTCTCTTTATTTAGCATGTTAGCTGCAAAGTGAATGATTAACTTTTCAAACTAATTTGTCAACAAGTTTGTTAAAATATTACTCTGTTTGTTTAGCATGTTAGCTGTGTAAGTTATTGAATTATTTTTAAAATTAATGCTCGTCACATTTAATACTACAATTCTGAAGCTTATGTAAGCTTGATAGTGTGATTATTAAAATATGTACATATATATATATATAAATGCGATTCACTTCACTTAATAGTTACCATAGAAAATAAAGAAAATTGTGAGAAAAAGATATAAACAATTACTTACTGAAGTAGTTGAGAGTTTCCCGGATTTGGTCCGGTGATAATTTTAAGTCAGCGTCAACTGTTTTTAAGGCCGGTGAAGGAATATACCAATCAGCGTTTTCGTATCCTACGCACAATAAGCAATATAAGTTTTATAAATACTTACAGAATAATAATTTGCAACAATTAAGTATATTTCAGTTCAATTAGCAAGTATAATGAACAGAAAACAGAAGAGAATTACATATCTTGTTTAAAAGAAATTTCCATTCTATTTTACGAAGAGAGTCTGGAATAAACTAAACGTAATGTTGTTAAGAATTAGAAAACATGCTCGAGACAAACGTCGACTGATTTCATGTATCATTTTTTCTAGAAACTATTATTTCTCGAACTAATAAAGCTTCTAATTATTTTTTTCAAATATAACTACTGTGAATGTGTTTTTAATTTGTACAGCAAATGAACGTACGCAGAACACTCAGAAAAATACCTCAAAATGAAATACGTATAACAGATAATACTATACTAGTGTGAAAAACAACTTGTGAAAATCATTCAGTGAGCATATTTTCACATCTTTATTAACATTAAAAACTAGGTAATTTTTTACAGACACTCTATATACTTTTTTAATTTTGTAGTTATTTGCCAATAACACCTCTAGAATATTTTTTTGAATAGTACTATACTCAAATTATTACATTATGTAATCTACGTACAGCAAATTCTCCACAAGTGTCAGTCCGCAAGGAATCTAAACCTGACACTTGTAGAGTCAGGAACTACGTTTTCGAACGTTCTTTTATCCCGAAATTTTTCTTAACATATTGATGAGATTTTTCTGATGAAAATGACATCAAACACGACATAATTTGAACAACATTTACTTATTAACACGTTCACTGTCACGCCAGATATTTCACTGTATTGAGATAAACAGACGCCCTGTATTACATTACATAGAGTCCGGCCTACCGTTTGTCTGCCAGTTGGAGAATTGGCCTGCCGTTTGACTGACACTTGTAGAATCAGCCCATCATTTCACTGACACTTGTAGAATCGGTCCTACATTTTTTTTTCTTTTTTTTTTACGTGGAGGTTGGCCGACATTAAATTAATTATTCAATAAGTATTAATACATAAGTAAATGTTGTTCAAATTATATCGTGTTTGATATCATTTTCATCAGAAAAATCTCACCAACATGTTAAAAAAAATTTCAGATGAAAAAAAGTAAAATTAAAGAAATTATATTTTTCTATTATGAATTGTCCAGCCGTGAAATCTCGTAAAAAGAAACCGAGTGGTGTAGCGTTACACGCTTGACTGACAGCGGGCGAGGATAACAGGCGTAGGACCATCTATACTGACACTTGTAGAATCCAAACTGACTGATACTTGTAGAGAATTTACTGTACTTTCTGTAATAAAATTCATTTCATTTCTAACGGAAACACCGTGAAGATTAAACTTTCCTTATTTGTCATAAGAATTTAGAATTTTGTTTTTCTGATATAAATCACGTATTATTTATTTATTCATATTTACCTTGAAACTGAGTGAGAGTATCGGCTCGTAGGCGGTATCTAGGTATTTGTTCTTCTAGCAAACTTATAATCTCAACTTCGGGTAGTTCTCCTCCGCTGCAGACCTCTATAACAGTTTTTATTTCGTATTTATATGTAATGTCTTACAAGGGCAGGGTTTCCAAAAGTAAATCGTCGATTTTTATGAAACTTTCTATGAAAAAATATTTTACATACATTTTTTTTTTTTTAAATGTCGACTACCAGATTTAGGAGTGAAAATAGCCTTCAAAATTGGGCTTGAAAAATTTGTTTTCCCAATATCTGGAAAGCTAGTGGGATTAGGGAATTGGTTTAAATGGATGAAATATGTGTTTTTTAATAAGAAACCCACTAATGTAGATAGTTTCTAAAAAGACCCATCTGTTTAAACAAATAAACTAAATATTAATACCTTTGCGTTAATCTTTGTTGCAAAATAAAATTGTTAATCTATTCGATTACAAAATACAGATGATTTGAAATTTTAGAATTGGAATTTACACGATATGTCTTAACCTGATCCCCAGCGATTGCATACAGAGATTGATCGTATCATATGTCACCTACTCTTTGTCGGCAAACTCTGTGATATATCTGTTCAAAAATATTTATAAAAATATTTTGCACGTGTCTATCAGATTAGAGTTAACCCCTTAGGCTTAGTGTGTCAAAAATGATCAATTTTGTTTTTTTTTTTTTTCTAATTATTTCCTAGGCATATAGAAATAAGTTTGCCGTTATTTCTAACGTTGTAACTCACGTTTTTCTCATGCTTAATAGAAAGGATAACGCAATATGGAAAATGGAAGAAAATAATTAAACAAAATTGCGCTTACTGGACGATTAGTTGTGAACGTTAAGTTGTTAAAGAAGGTTTAGCCTACCGTCATATATCTTTAAAATACAGTTGTTCAATTGGCCTGGTTGCAAAAATAGAACAGTCTTGTAATTTAAATATTCCAAGAAGTCGATCAGGATCGAAGGGGAATCGCTCGGAAACCTCAAAACGGAAAACTGTAAGGAGTATTCATTCCGGAGAAGTTGAAAATACTGTGCAAATGCAAGAAACGCTAAAAGCTTTCAATAATTCAAAAAAGAAAATTTGGAACGAAAGGAAGGAGTAAAGTGAAGAAACCACTACTTACGTAAAGATACATGGCCATACACGATTAGAATTTACAGACAAATTTAAAAATTGCAGTGAAGAATTTTGAGAAAATATTATTTTGTTCGATTTGGATCGAATGGCAAAAGATGGATTTCGAAAGGAGCAAATGAAAAATGATAAAAGAAACATATCTATCCTACTCTCAGGTTTGGAGGAGGAGGTATTATCATCTAGGGATGCACGATGACTGAAGGTGTTAGAAATATTCGTAGAATACACGAGATACATTAACATTTTGGAAGAAAATTTAAAGAATAACAAGAAAATGAAAATGATCCAAAACTACAAAGATTATAGAATTATGGCTGCAAAAATAGAATTGTCCCTGCCCTGACCTAAACCCTATAGAACAGCTACGGGGTATATTAACAGGATTATTAACAGATTATAATATCAATAATACAAATCTTGACAAATTACGAAAAATTGTTCGTATAAAATGGGAAAATATTGTAAAAAATTAGTAAGTAGTATGTCAAGACGGATCGAAGCAGCAAAAGGTGCTCACACCTTTAATAATCTAACATCTAACTGTTACATGTGCTGCCGGTGATTATGAAAGTAGCCCAAGTCATATATTTTTCGTTTCGAGATATTTAGAATTTTCCCTTTGGGTGTGTTAAAACATATTTTTTCATTATGTAATAAAATATTTCTATTTTTCTATGAACAGATCGACGCAACACAAAAGAAGTCAATTTTTTTAAGGATTTGACTTAGACCACTTTCATAATCACCAACATATATACACATACATGTAACTGTTCATATTTATCTACAAACAACATGTTCTTTTTTTTAAATGAAATATAACTTTTATTAAAACATAAAGATATTAATTAACCTGTAACCTTAACTGTTTA